AGGGACAACTACAGCGATGGCTCGGTAGAGTGAGATATGCAACGGAGACGATCGTAAAATTTCCAGGAGCTGAATAAGATTAGACACAGAACGTCCGTAAGATGTAGTGAACATGTATGGATCAGTTTGGAACGGGAGAGTAGCACACGGCAGGAAGAGGAGAAGACGTGCGGAAGGGGGAATTGCGAGATATTACTAGGTCGGCAGGTCTAGGGATTCCTTTGGAATGTATAAATTTGTGGTTGGTGCAAGTCCATTCTTGCTGTTGTCGTCATTCCCCTCCTTCCCGAACATGTTGACTTGGTTACTCGAAGCCGACGCAGGGAATCGTACCGAATTGGGAATGGTGGTGCCAGAATGTAGGGCAGGTAGGTCAGACATGCTAGCAGAGAACCGTTTCTTTGCAGCTGCCGAAGCCCCACCAGCACCGTAGACATCCGCAGCGGCAGCGCTGAGTGCAGCACTCAACCGCGCGGCTGAGGCAGGGGGTGGGTGCGAGGCGGTTGGGGTCAAGGTCAAGGTTGAGATAGGTAAGGGTGGTTGTAGTGCTGGGTCATCAGGTTGTCGATAGATATCAAAGTCGTATACACTTGCGTCTGCTTGGGAATGTAAATATGGCTGGGTCGAGTCTGGCTGTTGTTGTTGTTGATGGTCCTTGTGGAGAGATAAAACGGAGGTAGATGCGACACGTCTGTTCAAGCTGAAAAAGGTGGGCGAAGAGGGTGTCCGTATATGCGATCTCTTGCGCGAGCCCATGCCTTTCTCTCCAGCGCCTGCCGCACCACCCACGCCGTCCATCGAGGGTCGCGCGGAAACTGGCTTATGGCCGGGTAGACCATCAACCTCATGTGTATCATGTGATAGAGAGGATTGCTGAGTTCGGTCCATGGAAGAACGGAGAGGGCCCACACCCTCCTCTTCAACGGACGCTTCGAATGGATCTTTTGGGAATTGAATAGGGCTGAGGCTCCGATGTAATTTAAAGGGCGAGGTGGGGCGTAAGAAAGAAGATGACGTTTCTAGGGATGGTCGTGGTTTGTGCAGTCGATTAGAGAGTCGCTTGGGAGGCGGCGTTGTGCTGGTACTCGATCCAGAAGGCTCTCCTGATCGTGTTCTCCTGTGACCAATGGTCGACTGCCTACCGGAGAGAACTGATCCAAGCGTGGAGAAATCCCGCCCTTCCTCAGGAACGATCGTGTCTAAAAGGCTACTTCGAGACTCGCGTTTATCTCGCGATGTCTGCGGAGGTTGCGGTTGATCGGTAGTATGTTCGACAATGACATACTCGGAAGGCGTGGGAGATGGAGGGGGAATGTACCCTGAACTGAATGGGTCTAAAGGTGTATTGTCCTTGACATCTTCGGTCGTATCAT